GCTCGTCCTCCGCTGCCCTCTCACCTTTAGCTCGCGGAACCCCCCACCAGGGGCAGACCGGCAGCCTCCCTGGCCTGGGTGCGGTGCCCACAGCTGGCGCGGAGGCGGCTGTCTCTCTGCTGCGGTCAGGCTAGACCGGTCAAGGGCCATCCTTCCCAAGGCACACTGGACCGCTCTCTGTCATTGCACAGACAGGGAGGGACGCTGGGTTCCCAGCCACGGCGCCCGCGGGCCCTGTGGCCTTCTCTTCGGGCAGGTCGTCAGGAGGTTCAGAGACTGGGCATTTGTTTATCGGTGTGGTACTGCATTCAGCACTCCTGGGATACCCTGGAGATCTCACAAAGCACTGGGCCTGTCTTAATTTTGCTGGTTTTGTGTATTTATTTTTTAAGGATTACTATAATCATAGGGATAATATGTCTAAAAGACGCGTCTTTTCATATGTTCTTTGCAATAGTTGTCATGCTTTCTTTTTGTTGTTGTTGTTGTTGGTAACTGAGACATCCTAACTTGGTGAATGTACAATTCAAATAATCTGACATAACTGGACCTGGTAAAATCAAAGATATACAAGGGTAGTTCAAAAATTTCACTGAAAGATTCGTATTATCTTCCAATTCTATTTTTCCACGAACTCTGAAATACACTTCTATGTCATTTGGCCCCAGGATTCACTAATAGCCTCTTCATGTTTACAAAATTCTTTCATGTTTTTGCTTGCTTTAAATGTGCCAGGACAGTCTCTGGGCAAGGATGAACGGTGTCTAAAGTGTTCTAGGTCCAATGGCCAAGCAGATTACCAAAGGAGAGAGTGAGGTTTGCCTTTACTCAGATGTTTGAACATAGTGGTCCACAGCTAAAACAGTACCGGACTTGAAGTCAGGAATCCCAGGTTCTGGCCCTGTGTGTGTGTGTGTCAGCTTCTGTTGCTTGTAACTGAATACCTGATAGTGGGTAATTTATAAAGAAATAGAATTTATTTCTTACAGTTTTGGAGGCTGGGAAGTCCACAGTCCAGGGGACACATGTGGTGAAGACCTTCTTCTTGGTGGTGACTCTCTACAGCAATGCAGGATGTCATGTGGCAAGAATGGCCCGAGTAAGAGTGAGTTAACCCTCTCACTTGCCCTCTTTATAAAGCTTTAAGGATTAAAACGAGGAGCTCTTTCAAAAATTATGCAGGGTAATAGGCATAAACTGGTACTGTCCTAGGGAAAATGGAACAAATGGCCGCATGAATTCTAACTTCATTAACATACCTTTGCCTTGTCTGGAAAGAATTTAAGCCTGCTTACAAAATATATGGAACAATTTTTGTGGTTGTTTTAGTGGGGAAATTGCAGGGAGGGATGCTAAGGGTGGTAGATCATAATTATGAAACAAGAACCAAGAAACTTTTCCAAACATCTAGAAAGTCAGGTGCAGTGTCACAAGTGCATTCTAAGATTTAGAGGGTTGGGTTTGAAGAGTCCTCCTTTCAAATGGTGAAGACAGTGGCTAGGAAGTGTGGTATGGAAGAAAGAAACATAATGATTTAAGGAAGAAGTACCCTGACTCCTTCAACACTTTCAACACTATCCTCAAAAAGGGAGAAGACAAGAAAGTGAGTACCACAGCTGTGTGGACCAGGTGTAAGG